GGCACGAGGAGATATATGATTCTTCATTGAAACAAAGATATAACATCATACAAATATCCTACAAGAAGGTAAAATTGGGTTTAACGTCGCGTCCAAGATTATTGCACTTATATAGCAGTGAGGTGAAATGGGTTTAACGTCGCGTCCAAGATTATTGCACTTATATAGCGACGTGCATGTACGTGTGTGTGTGTGTGTGTGTGTGTGTGTGTGTGTGGCTACTTGTATACACACAGTCCGGACTGATGCCGATTTAAAGAGCTAGCCCACAGAGATACCATGCCGCAGTTTAACATGAATACCCCACTCAGACACAGTATACTGACTCCGAGCCGACCAGTCGTTGTTTTTGCCCCTTAATGCTGAGCGTCAGATAGGGAAACAACATGTACATGTACCATCTTTTAACGTCTTTTGGTATGACGCGGCCGGGGATCGAACCCCGGACCTTCCACTCTCCGGGCGGACGCTCTACCGCTAGACCACGGAGGCTACAAGAAGAATAGTCATAAAATATTAATATACTCATGTTGAGCATCAACTTTTTTTCCTTGGCGCAACATCAACCCTTCCCCAAAACCTAGCGACACCAACTCTTATGTTATTCCCACACGCGATCTGCATTTGGTGTAGAGGGTGCCAGGACAAACGTGCAAATCACACAAGATTATTCCTCTAAGATATCACATTCTTCTGATTGCCTTGAAGAATGGTAGATAAATGGTAGTGACATCATTTCAATGTTATCGAACAACATGGATAGGTCAGTGAAAACATGCCTTTCAATAATTTCGTATGTAACACACTAAAAACAATATCAACTCTGGTCTTTTTTATCTCCTCTTATCTATAGGCATGCCGAGCTCACAAGAAAAAAAATCCATGTATTGGTTTCCTGTTAGAAGGTCAATGTATCATGATGAACAGAGCTTGTGTAATCTCACGAAGACATGTTTGTTAATCAGTGACATAAATCGGTTACCCAAGAGGAACATAGCAAGACCATCTGAATTGTTAATTGATTGTTACAGCCAGAATGGGAGAAACGAAAGGATTATCTTTCTTCAGAAATGTCACTTTGTCTGGGAGGAGTCAGGTGTCTTTCAGAAAATGTATTATTTATCTCATAGCTATTGGCCGTTGTCTCATAGTGGTTTGATGTCAGTTCAGATGTGAGATATTAACTAGTCTGCATCTTTGGAGATGCCATACCCTAGCTCACATAGTGCTCTAGTCAATTTGGGACTTCCTTTCAGACTAAGAGACGCGTTTGTCCACTAGAAATAACTAGAAAGCAAACTATTAAGTGGTAACACTGACCTTTTGGCTATAAATCATCATATTGCATTGGTTCGATATGCCATGTGGGATAGACTATAGACAAATACCCATCGAGGGTCCCTGCCGGCTGCATATTTTATAAAGGGTCAGACCCAAGAGAGTATGAGTTACCTTCCCGATTTCAACTAGCAGAGACATGTGTTAATATACCCGACTGCAAGATAACCTATAGACGATGCATTGATGAGCTCGTAAGCACTGACTCATCACTAGACAGAAAAAAGGACACTATTTAGTACGTCGGGACCTGACGGTACTATCTTACTAGAGACATGCGTCAAATGAGCCTCGGGCGAGTATAGACATATCGCTGTATCCAGACTTCGCCATTCTCAAGCAAAGCTTATGGTGGTGATTCACTGACGATGTTAAGGTGATAATTGCGCACATTATGAGGCTCATGTATATCATTATGTTCATATAGGACACTCACACCAACGCAGACATTCTTTGACGCCAAGATGCCTGTCTTCCGCCGATTAAAGTATAAGCTGTTCCCTACTCGACAACGGTAATAACAAGGCACACACAGACAGATTCGTTAGCTCAATACCCAAGGCTGAATCCAGGTTCCTAATAATGGCGAGGAGACGACCTTCTGTGTATGATTTAGGGAGTGTTGACGGTGGGTACATAAGACATATATGGTGATATCAAGATCACAGCATAGACTGCTAACAGGTTACGTGTACGTTATCAAGCGTTCATTGAACGTAACTACAAAACGTAGCAATGAAAACGTTGACACAATCCTCACAGAAAATACAACTTGTGAATGGTTCTAAAAGACAGAAAAATTCGGTTGCTGCCTGGCAACAGTTATCAGCACTGGACTTAACTAGCCACTGTTGTTCCAGCAACATAAGAGTACCATGCCACAAAACCAGCCTGTGGTCGACCATCCAAATGATATATATTTATATATATAATGGTCAATCTGAGGGACCACTGATTCCTATTTTATTCTCTTGTTTTGCTTAGCACGATGAAAAGGCAACTGACTTTGTCCCAGTCCCTTCGGGACAATTATAACAGCTTGGTAACTACCTTTCGATCAAGACCATAGCTGGCAACTTCCAGGTTACGTTAACGAATAAGAGGTATAGCACACGGCTGCAGCCAGTGATGGATACGCAACATTTAAATTTTCTCCCGGAAGGACAACGTGAGAGATCACTACAAGACGAAGTATAGAGCCATTACAATACTGTGATCCAAGTTACCGACACCACTCAGAATCAACGTTAAAGGTTAATGCAATTGAGAGATTCAGTTGTGTATGTGCGTTTCGGATCTATAATTCCGAAGAAGGAGACAAAAATTAGGTGAAATAGAAACGTCGCTTCCGAGATTATTGCACTTATATAGCGACGTGCATGCACGTGTGTGTGTATGTGTTTGTGTGTGTGTGTGTGTGTGTGTGTGGCTGTTTGTACACACACAGTCCGGACTGATGCCGATTTATAGTGCCAGCCCACTGAGATACCATGCCGTTTAACATGAATATCCCACTCAGACACAGTATACTTACTCCGAGCCGGTCAGTCCTTGTTTTAGCCCCTTAATGCCGAGCGCCAGACAGGGTATCAACAAGTACCATCTTTAAACGTCTTTTGGTATGACGCGGCCGGGGATCCAACCCCGGACCTTCCGCTCTCCGGGCGGACGCACAACCTCTAGACCACGGAGGCAGTCTTGGAGGCTTTGCATTTGAAAACTTAACATTACGGTTTTAAAGACATGGTAATAACTTAAAAGAAGAATGAAAGAAATACAAACACCTCCTTCAATCATATTTGGAAACGGTTAATGACGTTTCCGTTGCTCACAGTCAAATCATGTTCTTTATGCTATGATTTTGTGTACAGCTGTCACCTTCACTTAGACGAGATGCTCCAGTTAATACATGATTCACGTGGCGTTTGCGATCTTGGTGATTGGATTGGATGGTAATATTTATTGTTTGAATCGTGCTTACCAGCATGAAATACGAGGGGGTGTTCTGTGGCAATGATGTGTAAATTGCAGGCAATGTGTAAAAATAAATCATTGAAGGTGCCTGTAACTTGACAAGTGATAAATTAATGATACTGTATTATTAGGCCGTGTAAAGCTTAACTGAAAACTCGTAGAACAATATAAAGATAAATATCTTGATGATATGCTGCCAATGTAAGGTTGATATGACGAAGATGGCCTTGTACCACAAGGGAACACAATAACGCCATTTAACCCCTTGTTCAAGTCTAGTTGTGTACAATTTCATGACTATAATGAAACAGAACGCCAGAGCGTCACTACTTGGCTGACGTAAGACATATGTCTGGTATATAAATGTATCTTAAACGGTGACTATGTTCGGCAAATTGAGAAATTCAGCAATTTGATTCATGAGGGTGCCCCACTCCCAATCCCCTTGTCGTCTGAATCCCGAATACCATCTACGTTTTAACTATGTGCCTCATTTGTTCACCCCTGAATCACGAATACTACTTAACACAAATCTCTAAATCACATGTCAGAATTCACTCGACAGAGGCAGAGACAAAACGTACAGAAGTCGTGCCTACATGTAGGTCATACAATGATGCGATTTGAAGTTACATTATTTTATAAATATAGAAAACATAACACATATATAGGCTGATTACGTACATTATTATTTTCAATCACTCTGCGTACCCAACACGAGTCCCGCGTACCACTTGCCCCGAATATCCTCCAAATGGAACCCTGAATGCCGCGTACTAGAAGTCGGTTGACAACCTCATTCATGTCTCTCAAAAAACACTGTACCAATTACTGAAGACCCCAATGACAGAGAAAATGTCTAAGTTCCACAATCTAGATCATGGCAGACACGGGGCACCAGACCATGGAGCATATCCTACTACAAAGTATAGGAAATGTCTGTCCTGCATTGTATTTAATTTGACTGGTAGTTAGGAGAGAACCCGATAAAATGCCTTACATATTTATTTTCAACATTCCATGCAGATGTAGGGCTTGAAACGTTAGAAAGAAGAGATCTGCAATAACCTGGTTCATCCAACTTAAGTAATTTTCGATTTCATATTTATTTTATAGAATATAATTGCCACCTAGTGTCAATAAAACGATTTGGGGCTTGAACACAAACTGAATGAGTTTCTTAATTTAAAGACCCAATTTATCTTTTATCCAATTGCAGTGTGTAGACATCTTGCACTCATTCAAGCTAAATGCTGAAAATATGGTAATTCTGTTACATAATCATCAGCATTCACATTGATGCAATTATATCTACAGAAATTTGGTTTCCTGCATTCCAAGGCAGCGACTCGGAGTATTATGCACAACTAGAGTCGTATTATAAGAATGACCTTTGATTTTAGAAACACTATTCTGGGGTCATTGCAAGCATTACTGAATATATTTTGGTACCAGAAATGAAATCCAATCATTCATTGGAATTGAAAACTTTCTGACGCGTGCTGTATTGACGTTTAAAATTGCATGTATAAAATTCAATTAGCCACATTTCAGAAACATATTCAATTTTGAGAACAGGATAAGGAATCTCCTGATTTATTTTCTAGTAAACAAGTCTTGAGATTGTAAATTTCACCCAGGGACCTGACACCCAATAAAGGCTAACCTCTCTATGGCAGTAACTTTACCAGGGAGCCTGGTTGTACATCCGTGACGAGAGCCATCGATCGCCTCACAAAGTCTAGCTCGCACTTCCCAAACTCATTGTCCGTGGGAGCCACTGAAGAGACGCCAATGCGCTTGTATCTGGACAATAGTGCACCCTGGTAAGTTGGCCTGTTCGGAACTGTTCTGTGTAATGAGAGCAGCACGCATGATCAAGGACAACTTTGCTCCAGGAAACTCTAGACGTCATTAGTCAGTGTCATGGCTATTTGATTTATCCAACAAGCCAGAGATCTGTGTGGATCGTTCGCAGTTTATGATTTCTCTACTTCTCGGGGCTTAATATACAAACTGTAGTTATGTGGTGACAAAAAGGATGTCTTTGTGGAGATGTGGAATTAACAAGACAGATGAGCCGCGAAGAATGAGTGATTGATTAGGCGTTGTTGTACAATTTGGAGAAGTAAAAGAGGCAGGCAAAATGTGATCTTTACTTTGCCCAAGGATACCGAGACAGACATGACTACATCCACGGCTATCATCCTGTGTTTGCTGCTCTTCCCTATAGGAGGGTACCAAACCCTGGATGAAAAGAGGTAATTTTACCCTAGAAACTGTGTCTGTCATTTTACAAATGATTTCAAGTACAATATAATATCCCTTTGAATAATGTATAGTCTATACGTGTACCTTCATCAGTATCACAGTAACGCATGTGTGAAAGACGTGTTTCATTTTCAGCTGTTTTTGCATGGTGTTACTACTTAAACAAACTGTTGCTTGCTTCGGATTGAAGTATTACTATGTACCGTGTGAACTGATTGCAACCCACCGGGGTACCATGCTTATAATTTAGATGGAATCATAACTTGCCTCTGCATTTAGTATAATTTTTAAGATTAGGGAAATAGTTTTTGTGACTTTTTTGCTTTTATTGGTATAGTCATGGAGTTTAACACACTAAACGTTATCTGGAAACTATCCTAATGCATTTCTCGGTTTCATATTCTTTTTTGGATGTAACTACACTTTCCAACGGTAGAGAACCCTTATTATCATCCCTCTTGCTGTAGATATATGTCATATCTACATGCACCACACTTACTTAGGGAAGTCATTTTCTGGTTTACACAAATACCTCTTGTCCTTGTCACAGCATCGTTTTGTTTAAGAAATAATACGATATAGATATTCGAAAGTGACGGGTATGATATGTGTTTCGATATGAGGTTTAAGCTTAATAAAGTGTCTTAGGTGTCAGTAGAACATTAATTAATTTGTTGACATCGCACTGCTCGATATTAAATTGGTGGCTGCAAGTAAACGTTTATGTTCCTGCAAATCTATTGACCAAACATAATAAAAAATTACTACAGACTGTGTAATTTCGACATTTCCCCCCGCATTTGTTTTATAAAAACGCGACCACGAATGTTCCACGAAATTGTAGTACGTATTTCCCTGGAAAAAATACGGAAGTGAGAAAAAGTGTCTCCTTTCCACCCACTCATAAAGATAGTTTCTTCGCTCTTTCAATTTATTTTAACTGTTATATAATGAAAATCATTATCGTGTCCATCTTTGTGTTCATATAACATGTCCCTGACATCAGACACAGTGGTTCATGTGTAATATGCTGTTAATCTTAATAAGCGTCACTTTTCTGGACATTAACAATAAACACATCCTTAATGGAAGTTCTTCAATCAACCAATATGCCTGCAGCTAGACAGTTACAGACTCAACCTCGCAACACAAATAATTGATGCCTGGCCACAGGGTCAACAAAATTCCCCGTCCTTTATCACAATGTAAAAGTATGATTAAGTTTGTCCAGAAGAACGCCCTTGTTGATCTGAGTAACTGTAGAGGTAGAGCATTGTACCTAAAGGCACTGGAGGAGCAATGTTGCAGATCGACAAAATCATGTTTCACAAAGTATGTGCTTGACTCAATGACTTAATAGCAAAATAAAAATTCTGAATCTGCACTTTCGCAATAGCAACCACGTATTTGTTCGTACACACATCCCGCAGAGAGTTTGAATCGATCAATAAGATCATTTTAAAATCATTGCAATTATGAGGATGCTGCACACGCTAACATGTTTTCATGACGTTATCAGTGCTGATCTCGTTTGACGTTTGGGATTGCCTATATTGATTTGGAGAACACACTAATATGAAAAAGTTTCCAGATGTATGTGATTACTAATCCGGTCTATTTTCTATCTGCAATACACGTACTAGACAAAGAGGCAGTACTACCATAACGCTCATCCTTCACGTTGTACTTCTGCTACAGCAAATACTTAAAATTGCCACGTTCCTACTACTACTACTACTACTACTACTACTACTACTACTACTTCCCGTGAAGATCAGGGTCTTCATGCTTGTTGTTAGAGGCGACTAATGGGATCGGGTGGTCGGACCCGCTGACTTGGTTGATGCATGCCATCTATCCCTGTTGCTATTGCTTGGATCAATGCTTATGATATCAGTAACTGGTTTGTCTGGTTCAGACTCGGTTATCTACAGACCGCCCTCATATATCTTAAATATTGCTGAGTGCGGCCTAAAACAACAAACAAACAAGCAAACTAGTACTACTACTCCCACTACTAGGGGCCGTCGGGTAGCCTAGTGGTTAAAGCGTTCGCTCGTCACGCCGAAGACCCGGGTTCGATTGCCGACATAGGTACAATTCTGGTGTCCCCCGCCGTGATATTGCTGGAATATTGCGAAAAGCGGCGTAAAACTATACTCCAACTCAGCAATATGTCACGGCGGTCTTCATAAAATCGAGTCTTGGCCAGACAGTGATTGGCATTACGAGCACTCTCTCACGCTGTGGTGGTACCATGGTGCACAATACGACACCGAGCTGGACACCCGGTCCATTTGGTCGCGTCTTCTCGGAGAAGAAGGATGGTGGTTTGATCCCCTTTGATACCAAAGAACATTAAAATTTGGTACTTGATGTCACCCATTAAAGGGATTAAACAAAGACTGGTCGGCTCTCTGTCAGTATAATGTATCTGAGTTGGGTATCCATGTTAAACCGCGTCATGGTATCTCAGTGGGCTTAACACCTTCAACCGGTACTAGTACAATCAGCCACATACACTCGCAAAATAAGTGAAATAATACTTGTTATCACCTTATCTACTATTTGGGTTGAACCAAGTGGGTTCATAACTGCTGTGCGAACCACTCCGCCAAAGAGTTCCACTTTTGGCAATGAATCACTTTTGAGCATTAGAAATTTCTCCTGCACATTATTACGACGATTGGCCTAAGGGTTCTGGGCATAACCATAATTGACTGCGCTGATGGAGTTGGTCCCTAATTATTGTTCAACGTAACCCCTCCGAGGTCCCCACACTGCCGCCGATGATGCTGGAGTGCCCGTATCCCATTGGTGTTGAAGGATTCTTCCTGGTGATGTAGGGGCACTGTGGCCCAGTCTCCTAAGGCGCCGCGATTCGCTGTGAAGAGTTGCGTCCCTTGGGCATGCCAGAAACCTATGATTGTGGGTTCGAATCCCGGTTCGCCCCGATTATGTTTCGAAGTTTGTCAGCACCATATCCGTGCTCGTGGGTTTCACCGAAGTGGTAAACGTCTGAGACCTGCATCAATTCGGGCTTGCCTCCCACATTAAGCTGACACACCGCGATATAACTGGAAAACTCACTCACTCACTCATATGCAAATGAAAGAGAATTCTTGTGATGGTTTGGTATTTCTCTCCTCCCATCATATCCTCCTCATATCCTCCTCATATCCTCATATCCTCAAACCTGCATCACTTCGGACTTTCCTCCCGCATTAAGCTGAAACGCCGCGATATGACTGGAGTAATGTTAAAAGCGGCGTTAAACCCAACTCACTCACTCACTCACTCACTCCTGGTGGTGTAAAACGTCCGCAACAACAGAAATGACGCCATCATTATTTTCATAATGCTTGCCAGACAGTTCCTTCTTCAAGTTTCGGAAGAGCTGGAATAAATTGTACAGGTACATATTCCTAGTGGAACAACACGCCTTTAGTGAGTTTTCCCACGACGGTTAGCCATTGTATTCCCACGCCGTTGCCTAAGCAGATAAAGATGATATAGACCTGGTATTGGTCTGTCTGGAGGTTATTCACCAGTAGGATTCCTTCGGAATCCAAGCAAGCCCAAGCAATCACTCAGATGGCACAGATGCTGGCGTCTTCTGACGAGGAGACGTTAGATGTTTCCTCTGCTTTGACTGTTGCATAGTCTCCCGGGGACAGTGGTGGATCCAAGTCACATCCAAACAATGCACTACAAAATCAGCTTGGTCTGCTTCAAAACCACGTTCATTTTCAGAAGAGATTATAAACCTGGAGCGTTTTGAACTGTGAGTCAGACGCCTTTGAACCAGCGTGCTGAAACTGTTGTCACATCCAGTTCATTTATTAGAATGTTCTAACTCTCCCGTGAAATATGCTTTCTGTATGACAAGAGTGGTTGGTCGTCGATCATCCATAATAATGTGTTTCATCCAAATTGTCCCTGAGGCTCTTTCTCCCTTCCTGAACTCAGCTTCCCAACTCTTAACAGTAGCAAATGTCGCATCATCTCCACAAGTTGATACCATGTCCACATGGAGCTAGCTGTTGGAGCTATTGAATGTAGCCCTATTAGATGGAGATACTTGAAGACAATGCGGTAGCTTATTTTGTCCATTTTCAGCAACTGAGAATCCCTTGTCACTTTGACGCTTGAAGAAATATATATATGCTGCCTGCTTATTCAATTGGTTCAAACGCAGCCAATAAGAATGAGCACAATTGTATTAACTTCATGAAAACATTCTAGATTCTCGACTCCTTGTGCGCAAAAGGCAAAATCGGTGTACATTGTTTAAATATTCTAATCATTGTTCAGTGTACATTGTTTAAATAATCTAATCATTATTCAGTGTACGTTGTTTAAATATTCTAATCATTGTTCAGTGTACATTGTTTAAATATTTTAATCAATCCTTTTGATCTTACACTGTCACTGCGAGTAGCATCTAAAACACATTTCATAGTTACGGTGAAATGAAGTGTCCTTGAATTCCTTCAGTTAGGGAATACCATTTTAACTGCGGGTATTTAAAATATGATACCTTTTATATCTTATTGTAATTTATTATTGTCGGTAAGGCTTTTGTTTCAGTTGAATGTATGTAATTCCAAATTGTATCCCAGATAACCAAAAGTGTAAATGTCGATTAAAATTGATTTAATGTTATTATAATACTTGTATTTAACCGAGTAAATGATATAGCTCGTAAAATGTAATTTGATTCCTAAATACCTTACATGACCTTGACATTCACCCACATCTGATGCTACCGGCAAGGTGGGATATCCTCATCCATTTCGCGAACACCTTGTGTTATCACTGGTAGTCTTTACTGTATGTATATGCTTGAAATTATCGCGTCACTGTTGTGGTTGGACATATTCTTGCGTTATGAATTGAATATGAATATCACAAAGCCACTGACGTGTTAAATAGTGAAGATTTGCTAGCGACTGAAAACTACTGAAATGAATATAATTCAGAAGTGAAT